TTCCGAGGAGTGGCTGGTGGGTTTGAACCGCCAGCCTTCTGGTTAGCAGTCAAGTGCTTTAGCCACTATGCTACCAGAGCTCCTTTTTTTTGGTATACTTGAAGTTTATTAAGAAGATCGTTAAATAAAACAATAGAGAATTGGTGGAACTGGCTACCATGAGCTCCCACCTCCACCCCCACCCCTAGATAGACTCAATAAGATCAAGGACCCAGTCAAGATCCAACAGGGTAACACACAGGAGTGCATGCTTCATTCATTCCTTAAAGATATGCAAGTGGAGTCATGAGAAATACACTTCTAAATTTAATAGCCATTATTAGTTAATTGTATAATTTAATTATATATTAAGGTAAGCATATTTCATGACTAAATATATAAAATTTTTATATGAACTATTGGGTTATATACTAAAATAAAACCATATATAAACTAAAGAATTATATTTATTTTATTATTTTAATAATTTTAAAATGGCTTAATTTACAGAATGGTATTGAATCTAAATATTTCTGGCACTATTAAAGTTTTAAATATAGTATCTAAAATTTAAGTTTTTCACACAGTTTGTTTTATTAAACTTTGTATTGTGGGAATTTTTAAGCATGCACAAAAGCAGGGAGAATGATCCAATAAACTCAGCTTCAACAATTAATTACTCAACCTCTGGCAATCTTACTTATTTCCCCCTCACACTGTTATTTTTTCTTGGAGTTTTTAAAGTAAATCCCAGATACAACATTTCACATGTCAAATAAGGTTTTGAAAATATCACTTTACACATGGAATCTATATAAAACAAAAAGGAATAAAGTGATATTTGCTAGAAAGTTTTTTGCCAGAAGTCACTCAAAGAGCTGAGGCAGAAAATAGAACAGCCCATCTTTGCTGAGAAGTCATCTCTAAGGAGAGACTGGGCTAACAACCTGGGTGGATAAATCTGCTGAAAAACTATTTTCCCTTATGGTGTCCTGTTTTTTGCTCCCTTCAAATTCACACTTGCTCTTCACCAAGGGCTATGTGGTCACCAGGTTTTCTCATTTACTTAAAGGTATAAAAGAGTTATAAAACTATTATAAAATAAGTTTTTCATTTAACTGCTCAGGAGACATCCATGTTTGCTATCAACAAGGTCCAGCTTGAAAGGGATTGCATGGAAAGAAGCTGGAAGCTGAGTGATGGGATGATGGGTTTGCTGTTAGGGGGAAGTCTTTTTTCTTGTTATCAGTTGTAAATAGATAAGGTTAGAGAGTAGGGTTCTAACTCTATTTTGAGCTTCCATAAAGTCACCAGAGCTCCCCTTTTTAAAGCCTGTGGAAATTGGGACAACTGTCCTAGCACAGGAGACAGCCCTCCATCAGTGTCCTCAGCACATTAGTCTCTGAGGAAAATGTTCTCCAACAAATTATGTGTGAAGCAATTTCCTGACAATGCCTTTAAAGCAGTGGATCTCAACATGGGCACTCATTGTCATCTCAGGGGAAGCTCTTAAAAATCCCCTGGTCTCCTTAGACTATCTGTGGTGTAACCCCATGTTAGGTGAGTGCAATGTGCTTGCAAGGGTCCCATCACTTTTATGTTCATGTCCTTGATACATAGTACTCAACTAAAAAAAAAAAAAAAAAAACAGGAGCTCTGGTGGCATAGTGCCTAAGGCATTTGACTGCTAACCAGAAGGCTGGCAGTTCAAACTCACCAGCCACTCCTCGGAAGGAAGGTTGGGCAATCTACTTCCATAGTAATACCACCCCAGAAACATAGGCACACAATAAAGTGTTATTTTTATGAGCTTGTGGTGTGATAGAGCCTCAGTTTCACACAATGCCCAATGCCTAACAACTATTGTGACATTTGTCACCCATGTCATTCTTACAGCCTCTCTGATCATGGATGTTGCTTCTTCTCATTTCTTGGGCCAGGTAACCAGTTCTCAAATGCATTAAGTGACTGTTTCAAGAGCATACAGCTACTTGAGGATATGTTGTTGTTGTTGTTGTGTGCCGTCGAGTCGGGCCCAACTCACAGTGACCCCTCTTTGGGTTTCCAAGGCAGTATTACTATGGAAGTAGATTGCCTCATCTTCCTTCCTAGGAATGGCTGGTGGGTTTGAACCGCCAGCCTTCTAGTTAGCAGTCAAGTGCCTTAGGCACTATATACTACCAGAGCTCCCATTTAAGGATCTAGACAAGGGTAAAGTGCTGGCTGCCAGGTACTCTGGAGCTCTTTCACTGCCCCACAAAATTCTCAACCCTCCATCAGTGGTGGCAGCACAAAGTAAGTGGGTCAGAGATACCAAGACACCTAACAGCAGACTCTGAATGAGTTCCACAGGTTAATGGACTTGTGATTGGAAACACACATGCTGAGAGAACTGCTGTCCTGGTCCCAGGCAATAATTCTACAGTTTTACTTGAGTTCATCAGTAACAACAAAGTGTTATTTGACTGTGTCTTTCAGAGTGTTGAAGGAGCTCTTGTGCTGCCATGATTAAAGTATTTGGCTGATAACCACAAGGTCAGTAGTTCTGACCTACCAGCTGCTCTGCAGGAGAAAGATGAGGCAATATTTTTCCATAAGATTTACAGCCTAGGAAACCTTATACAGTTCTACTCTGTCCTGCAGGGTTGCTATAAGTTAGAATTGACTTGATGACAATGACTTTGTTTTTTTGATTCATAGAGTGTTAGTCTCGGGCCTCTACCTTTCCCCCTTACTAGAAGACTGCTATGTCAAATGCTTAGACTTGAACTAAGATGGAAATAAGACCAGCTACGAAGACTAGTAGGAAAGCATGTCATGCTCATGGGAAGGAGATCCTGACAATGCAAGGATCCGGCACCAGCTTGGGTCTGGAAAGGTGGTGGAGAAAATCCTCTTTCTTATAGGTCTTTAAACATAAGGCCCATTCTCATGTGTCTGAGGTGTTAAGTTAGTGTCATGGACACTCAGATGGGGAGGTCACCAGCACTACCACCCTGAGACCAGACCAGCCTTGGTTTTGAAGAAATAATGCTCCTTTGGTGACATTGTAAATGGTCTGTACCAGATGTCTACCCCACCAGAATCCCTTTTCTTTTTATCTGTTCTTACTGGGATGTGAACTTGTTTCTGCTTCAAGTTAGGTTTGTCCACATCACTGTGGAAAATGTAGCTGTATAACTCTGTATCTTAATGAAAGACAAAAATGCCACGTAGATGCAGATAATGACTTTACTGGCACAGATGTCCACTTATACTCTCCAAGCATTAGCTGAGCCCAAGTCTGATTGTCTCCTTGAGAAGTGTCCATTCCTAGCAGTAATTTTCCTTAAAACAACTCTAAGTCATCAAATGGAACCTGTCTACAAGAGTGCTACTGTAAAAGGTAGGTCCTGCATACCCAAAGTTGATTCTCCAGAGGACAAGCATTGGTGCTGGGTGGCTGCTGCCAGTTTGGAGCTCACAAAGGATCCCAGTGACCTGTATGAGCTGCCTATGAGGAATCCCACAACCAACACTGCTAAAGTTCCCAAACAAGAGACTAATTCTCAAGAACATGCAACAAACTGAAAATTCTCTGCTAATAGAGTTTTAGAGAGCAAACAACCTCTCACAGGTGTTGTTGTTAGGTGTGTTGAGTCATTTCCTACTCATAGCGACACTATGTACACCAGAATGAAACATTGCCTGGTCCTGTGCCAGCTCCATGATCCTTGCTATACCTGAGCCCATTGTTGTAGCCACTGTATCAATCGATGTTTTTGAGGGCCCTCCCCTTTTTTGTTGACCCTACATTTACCAAGCATGATATACTTCCCCAAAGAATGATCCCTTCTGGCAACATGACCAAAGTGTCTGAGACGAAATCTATCCAT